TTCTGTTCCTTGTATTCCCAGCATTTAAAAACATTCCCCCCCCCCCCCCAGCCCCCAGCAAGAAGACACAGTGCTTACCTGATGAGCTCTACTGTTTCTGAATACATCGTGTACGGAGATTTGGATTCCATGGGGCCCTGTTCCATCGCATTTCCGCACTCGATAAATGACAAGGCTGCTTCAGCGTAGTTCAAAGCCTTTCCAAACTTTTCCACCTGATCAACAGAGTTAATACAGTGTCTTCCTTAACAATCGTTTTTTCAACAGCATTGTCACATAGTTTATATGCTTTATTTGAGAAACCCAACTTTTGAGTTCCAAAATCCTGTGAATGAAGCTGAGACAAGAAAGAAATAGAATACTTCCTTCTCTCGTTATTTTCTCAAATTACTACCGGTTTGGGGTAAGTGAGCGAACAGTTACATGCAGAAATGTACCAAATCCATGTGACAGCTGCCAATCAACACAGCGCAGAACTCCATGGCTGCTCTGCTTTCTGTTTCCCTCTTTCCAATCTCTGGTGGTCTGGCAGCTTCACTCCTTGTCCCTCCGTGCTATGCTAAATAGTCGTCAAGGCTGATAGGTCTGCTTCCATAGAAGAGCCTGCATATATTTTTTGTGTGTGCCCAACATTGATGGTTCCAGGCCTTGGATATCATTTGCTACATCACTCATAACATTTACATCTCCACGCCCATCTCTTCTCATGAGGTGTTTCATTAATAGTTAGGATCTCACTTAACGGTGACAGTGATGAGGGAAAGGAGAGGAGATAAAACTCAAGATACTATTTCAGCCTTGCCAAAATGGGACACAAAGTTGAAAATTAATAATAAAAATGATTTCTTGGATTATTTATAGTTGTCCAAATATATGTTAATCTTTCTCCACATCAGCAAGGACAACCATGAATCAGGTTTATATTCTTAAGTTCTTATAAATCTAAACTTACACATCAAGTTCCTGGTTCCACACATCGCTACTCTCTAGACAATTACATATTCTAACTTTGGATTAAAAAATCTCCCCCATTTTCAAATGATTCATTCATCCATCAAAACATAGAATGACACATATACTCTAAATACTAATCTAAGTCTTGCCATTAAAAAGCAAAATGGTACTTCATTAGTTGTGATACCTTAGAAAACAGAAATGTAGAGCAAAACTCCCCTCATTAGCAAATCAAATTTTTGAAGGGCTAATAAACCTAATAGGCCATAAAGCAATATTTCTCAGCAACACTTTCAGATTAAGGAAGTCATTTCATTCAATAAGCATTTTCTAAAGCACCCAGTTCTGGGATATGTGCACTTGACACATGAAAGCTCCTTCCAGGGACATTTAATACATTTGGAGAGAGAAAATGTGCACCTACAGGATAGTTCAAAGTGCAAGGCTGCCTGTCATGAACAAAAATGAAAAATGAGTGTCCAGTGCAAATGAGACGGTAGGAAGGCAGCAAGTGATGGGGGCTACAGAGAGGCTTGGGAGACACTCAGGGAGGAGGCCTGAAACAGATGCTGGGAAGGAATGTATGACTTGGCTGGATGTGGGGAGGCTGCTGAGGGTGCAAGTGGGTCTGAGAGTGAGCGTGTATGAGTGGGAGGCTCTGCAGCCGCTGAGGCCTGTGGCTGGCACAAGCAAGGTGCGCTTGGAGGCTGGGAGGGGACCAGCCTGGCTGCAGCAGTGTCTCTCTCTTGGGAAAAAGCCAATTGGAAAGGTAGGGTTGGGGAGATGACACTGAATGAATAATGCTAGAAAACCCTGGATGAAGGATTCAGGTAGAAATTATCATTCTGCTCAAAATTTGATACTCTTCTCCAATAGTGGCCCTGCTTCAGCTTCTTCAGATGACCGGAATTCTCTAACAGACTGTGGATTGTATGGACAGGAACCGTCCATTTCCCTTCTCTATTTTCTGATGCTCAGTGGTTATTTCCCTTGTGCCCTGGTGTACCCAGGCAATGGTCTTCACGCAAATAAATGTTGAATGGGTGGCATCAGCAGCACTGGGAGAAGGTACTGCTATTGTTTAAATATTTTCAACACTGGAATAATATTTTGAAAGTCACTTGAAATGCCTTATTCATCTCTAGCACCCCGACTGACCTCAGCTATGAACGCTGGAGGGGAATAGAACTGGAAATACTCAGTAAGAAAGAGTCTCTTTGCATGAGACCATTAGATGGAACAACCATATAATCTCTTTCAGAAAAAAACAGAAGTTTTCTATCTCTTACCCCAAAGCTCCAAGCTTTCCAGAACAGATTATTCAAGTAAGGAAAGTTATTCTTTGAAAACATCAAATCATGATGACTTTAGGGTCTTATGTGCAGATAATAGTTTCTGTGTTGTACAGTTTTAGAGGAAGCATTCATTTTGGCAGATACACATGAAGAACACAAGTCTTTTTGAAAAGGGATTAGTTCCTGGGACCAAGCCAAGGGTTGGCCAGGTTAGCAAGAGGGAAAAATGCAAATCTAGATTTTTTTTTTTAAATAGAAGAAAAATACTACCACCCATTGACTCCACTGGCTCTAGTTACTATTCAAACCTTAGGACTAAATTGAAATATTCATTTATCCAGGGTTTTCTCCCAGCCAGACATTATTGGTTGAAGTCATAATTTATTGGGCTATGAACACTTGATTATATAAACATTTCTCCATTTAACAGACCCAGCCATCCTTGTAATAGATTTTATAATTACCCCAGCTATATTGCCCCAGTGATGAAGCTGCAGTACAAACGTAACATTAAAGACGCATGTGGAAAGAAAAGGGTCCTACCATTGCATCTGCTTTATGCTTCATGCGTTTAGCTTCTTGCATAAAATAATCTGCACTGCGAGGCCTACAAGGAGAGAATGATATTAAATGTCATCATTGCTTAAGTGCAAAATCTTCTGAAAATATTCTTTCCTTGTGCTCAGACTGAAAGCATAATTTAAAAACTCTGCTTAATATGGAATCAAGATTATTTTGCATTTCCAAATTACAGCCTACATGGAAAATAACACGATTATTTTTCTCATAAGTTAGCGATTCAAAACACTCAATATATGCTGATAGTCTACATTGACAGTGGCTTTAATGTGATCCCCTAGTGCCTAATTTGTGAATCAGATTTTTTATTGTATGGTTAAGAAAACAAGTGAAAAAATCTTATTTCACACAATATTTACACAAAACGATCACTTTTTAATGTAAATATGCCTCATAATTGTGTCGATATGTATGGGTGAGTATATTTATGTATCCTTATGAAAACAAAAGTCATTTGTATGCATAAATGGCACCTAGAGTTGCATGTATATATATTTAATTATGTTAAAGCCTCCCAGTGAAAAATGAAAAGAGGTAATTCTGTATGATTACATTCCAGTTATAATGAAGTTAATTGTAAAATGATGTCTACCTTGTAACAATGCAAACATGGCATGTATTCTCTAGAGCTCTGATTAGCTAGCTGGTAAACATTAACAGCAGACATGTGCATTATTAAAGCAATAACCCTGGCCGGGTGCTGACTCTGCCGGGAGATGAAGGTAATTCATCCAGAGACTGATCTGAGTGTGCATAATGATCTGGAGTTACACCAAGCTACTCATCAGATATTGCCTTTAAATGCTTCACCTGACAGATATATTTTTTTTTTTTTCTGACCGGTAAGGGGATTGCAACCCTCGGCAAGGTGTCTTCCGCACCACACTCAGCCAGTGAGCGCACCGGCCAGTCCTATATAGGATCCGAACCTGCAGCCTTGGCGCTACCAGCACTGCACTCTCCCGAGTGAGCCACGGGGCCAGCCCTTCATCTGATAGATTTTCAAAAAACATCTACATCCTTTAGGGGCCATCAGCATAAACTATTTTTTGTATTATGGGTCTTTACATAATCAGTAAACTTGACCTATTCACGAATATCAAATATAAATCAAGACTCCCTGAATGGAAGATGTGATATAAGTAGTGACACTGATACATGGACTGTTAACCCACTGTGACATGCTCACATTGAACTGTCTTATTTCAGCTTCCAATGGGCCTTTTACCTTATGGTGATATTAGACAGTCAGAGCATCTCTCTATCCAAAGAGGTCAAATGCTTAGAAAAACAATGCATATTGTGACAATGACACTGCATTTTAATCAATCAGCCAAACAAATAAAACAAACCAGAGTCATAGCAAATAATTAGTTTTGGGTCAAAAATCACCGAAGCAAGAAAAGGACCTGGTTTTCTGTCTCTTAACTTCTCTATAAAATATTGCCAATACTGTGGAAACCTGCTGGGACTATTTAACGTCTCCCACAAAGAAATGAGGAACATAGCTGCAGGACTTCCTTAACGTGCAGAATTAAACTCCCCGTCTTTGGCTCCTCACCCTTTACCATTCTTCCCCACTCAGGCCTGAAAGTTTCCATTCATCCTGATGGGCCTTTCACTCGTGGGGGGCCCGAGGTTTTCTTAAGGGGAGGGCCCTGCACCTATCAGCTCTGCTTTCTCTAGTTTGTCTCCTAGATGCCATACCTCCTCCACTGGAATGGCTCTTTAGTTGCCTTTACAGGGTATATTTTCCTTTTTTGTCCACATATTGACCTTTGTCCATATAGGAGGGTTCTTCAAAAAGCTCATGGAAACATAGAATTGAAAGATAACAGGAATCTTCCCATGAACTTTTTGAAGTTCCCTCATATTGACTGTTTGGTCTGTGGTTCTACCTCTAGCAATTTATATTATTTTTGTTGTTGTTGTTGCTTGTTTTTGTTTTTAATAAACTTTATTTTTTAGTGCAGTTTTAGGTTCACAGCAATACTGAGCAGAAAGTAGAGAGTTCCTGTACGCCCTCCACCCCTCACATGCACAGGCTCCCCCATGATCAACCTCTTGCACCAGAGCATTTGCTACTATCGGTGAACCTACCTTGACACATCGTTATTACCCCAAATCCACAGTTTACATTAGGGCTCACTTTTAGTGTTGTACATCCTCTGGGTTTGGATGATCAACCTCTTGCACCAGAGCATTTGCTACTATCGGTGAACCTACCTTGACACATCGTTATCACCCCAAATCCACAGTTTACATTAGGGCTCACTTTTAGTGTTGTACATCCTCTGGGTTTGGACAAATGTATAGTGACGTGAATCCACCATTATAATGCCATACAGAATAGTTTCACTGCCCTAAAATCTTCTGCATTATTTTTTGTTTGTCCCTTTGCTTCATATTCCAACGTGGAAGAACAGACCCCACCTTTAGCCCAAGGCCAGGTCCGACCCCTGAGCTGCAGATGGGGTTCTGGAGCCTAGTTTTTCAGCAGAGGAGCACAGGTATCTTCATCCATCTCTCCCCTGTTAGCAAATGCTGGGAATGCCTCCTTGTAAACACTCCTGTCTTTTTCAGTGACCACATCTGCCACCCACGTCTAGGTTTTCATCACCTCTCTGGTTCCTTGGCCTCTACTTTGACTCTCCTCCAATCTGTCCTGAGCTCTACCTCTTGACCAGTGTCTGTAAAACATGGCTTTCATTACATCACCATCCTGCTTACAGACTGAAAATCAATGGCCCATGAGGTCAAATCTCAGTTCGGGTCCCCAATAATCTTGCGTAAGCCTCTTAACCATATCACTTCCTCACTGAGGCCCTCAACCAAAGCCAGGGGTGGTTTCCACCCTATCCTGGCAACACGTCACCCCTGTCTGAGAAGCTCTGCTCATCCTTTCCCCCGCCTGGGACATTCTGCTCTTTGCTCACTCCTTGAGTGCTCATGCACTGAGCGTCCACTCGCGGAGTGCCTACCGTGAGCCAGATGCTACCCACCCCCCACATTCTACTGCTGTGAGACCTTTCCGGTAACTTTGGTCCATGCTGGCCTCTGTCCTTCCTGACCTCACACACCACTTCTTGTCTACACTACTCTTCTGGGCCTCCGATGACTTCGGAGCCGCACTGGGCCACAGTCATCGCATGTGCGCAACTTGGTCGCTGGTACATTTCCGGCAGGGACCATGCTGTGGACCTCTCTGATGTTCCCACCCTGCAGTTTTAGGCACATGGTAGAAGATAAACACGTCTCCCTTCTAATGGGGTACAGCACTGCAGCCAGTGAGCCAGGGAGCCTCTCCACGGCAACCTGGAATCCTCCACATCATTATCTGCTCCATGCCCTAATATATAAGTTGGGTCATTTTTTTTCTTGCCCTGTTTTGTAGACCTTGTCACTAAGAGATCATCGTTTCAAACACACTGCGTTCCGATGAAAGGATTCTTTTTTTTTTTTTTTTTTTTTTTTTGTCTTTTTCCGTGTCCGGCAACGGATCGCAACCCTCAGTGTTGCCCCCGTACCGGACCGGGGACCGGCAACGGGACTGCAACCCTTGGTGTTGCTCCCGCGCCTCGCTCAGCCAGTGAGCGGGAACCGGTCTGTATGTGGGATCCGAACCCTCGGGCGGGAGCGCCGCTGCGCTTCCCAAGCGGCGCACTTATCCAGTGCGCCACCGGGCCGGCCCCTGAAAGGATTCTCTTGGTAATAAGCTCTGGCGTCTTACTTTTCACTAGCTTTCTAAGTTACCCGTATGGATGACAGTGCTTCATAATCCCTAACGTAGCTTCTTCAATCAAAGTTGTTTTTATCAGCAGCAGAGGAATATATTTTTCAAAGTGGATATGGAGGCTGAGTCACAAACTTTGACAGTAGTGCATGTGGATAAGTCACATCTAATTTTCTGACTACATCACAGCAGCTTCAACAGTAACCTGAGCCGCTGAAAGAGAAGGTACCATCTGGTGACCATTTATGAACACATTCGATAGAATTCTCATCTTTGCATATAATGGGGGGCTCACTATAGTGAGTCACTGAAGATTGCCTGATGATTGGCCCATTTTCTCTTTCAGGGGATTTCTAGCACCACACTCCTAGATCAGATCATTACAAAGCCATTGGGACCCACGGGACGTCTCGCAGATTGTCCAGCATTGCAGTGGATGCACAGTATCACAAAGGCTTCACTTCCAACAGCAATCCACAAGTCCGCAGGAAAGGTAAAATTGCTGTCACCATTGTGGCCATCACAGAATACAATAAAGCAAAGGTACTAAATTAGAATCTAATCATCTCAGTGTTCAAATAGATTTTTTATCTAATCTTTTTTTTTTACATGGAATACTATGAATTTCAGTTTTTCATTTACGTAATAAAATTCTTCACATTTCTCACAGGGATGGTTTTATGAGAAAACACAAGCAAACCTAATAAAAGTTCAATTAAACATCAAAAATGTAACTAACTGTATATCTTGGGCTCTTCAGAAAGGGGCTTGAGTGACCTAAAAGCCAGAGCTTAGCCACGTATATCTTCGTGATAAGAGCTCTCTGCAACAAAAGCAATCTGAGAACTTGATCCAAACAGAACGTTTTCTTTTCTTCTCTCCACCCTTTCCACCTACACTCCCACCACCCCCCACTTACAAACACATGGCCTTGGTTCTGAGCAGCACCAGGGCTGGAGCTCCCACAGTATTTCTTCTGGCACAGGAGTATTAAAGCAACCTTGCTTTTTGTTCTTTGTGGCTGGGACAGAGTGGAATGGTCTCCCACGGAGAGGCTGGCAGACTCCTTTCTGTGATTCCTACCTCTGTGAAGTGCCGCTCTCAGCAGAGCCAGCTTGTTTTGTGAACACCGGCAGGGCTGAGAGCTCAACGTGTTTGAACAAACAGGTTCCTCAGCACAGCAGAAATCTGGACAATTTTCTTGGGGAAGTTGAAACCCAAATCAGACAAATAGGCAACTGCATACTGAATGAATTCATCACCCGTTATCCGATATGACAGCTTGTCATCTGAGAAGCCCCAGAGGTGTTACTGTGTCCTGAGCTTTGAGGTACTTTCTCCAAAAGGAGAATAGTAAGAAGTTGAGTAATTATTTTTAATATACAAGTAAGCGATCACTATGGAGGAGGACCCTTCCCTATGGAAGCAGGTAGACTGCATTAGGCAGCAAGGATTTGAATGCAGCTTTTGTTTCCACAACCTGGACGGTGGCTGGGGCCACAGAGTGCCTCTAAGCTGGCGATCTCTCATTGTGTTTCCTATGGGCCACACGCTCCTGTACATGTTGGCCTCTCTCTTGGCCATGCCCAGATAGTGGCTTTGCATTCTAAGACGCACAGGACACGTGAGGCTGCTTTTTGTCGTTCAATCAAAAGCAACTTTCTGTTTAAATGGAAAATTATCAATCTGATTGTTGTTCTCCAGGTGTGACATTTAAAATAAAATAATTTTATAAAACCCTAAAAATGATTAGAGAGCTAAGATTTCAATCACAGGGATCTGAATGGCCTTGTTCCTCCACCTGAAGACCACTCTGTTTCGATCAGAACAAAATAAGGATCTGGCCTAGGGACAGGAATTTCATGATGGAAATTCCTTGTCCATCAGGAAAACAAAAAGGTGGGGTCCAGCTTTGAAGCCACTGGGGAGGGGAGACCCAAGAGGACAAGGCCCATGGCAAGCCCCTGGGGAACGCTTTCCTGCCCTAATCTTGCCTTCTCGGGGGTTTCAACGGGTGTCCTTTGACTAAATCATGCTGCGAGAGATCGACCTTCTGCATTTGAGAATCTTCCCTTCCTCTATAAAATTAAAATCCTTTTAGCTACGAGACTGCTGTGCATAATTACATTACAAATGTCAAGTCCCTCTTCCCTCCTCCTGGCCACATTTCACATGCCGTGGCCTTCGGGGTTGCCTGGCTGAGGGAGTCTTTTCTCTGTGTCAGGAGTTTTAGGTAGCTGGGCTCCTGTTGTTGGCGCCATGGGGACAGATGGGTCGTTTGGTGGGTTGGCTGCCTGTGCTGATCGTGACTGACTCTTCCATGTGAAATATGGGCAAGAGACAGCACATCCTCAGGGTGCAGAAGGAGCTCTGGCATTCAGGCTCTGCTGACTTTCCAGCACAGCCATACGGCTGCGGGAAACCAGGAGGTTGGTTTTCCACCCGAGCATCTCACCACTCGGCTCTGCTCAGGACTTCTGTACTGAGGCCTTCACGATACAGTTACTCTCTCGATTTCCCCAGCCAAAAACTCCCCTGTCACTAATTATGATACAAAGTAATTTACAGCTCATGGCTTTGTACTAATCAGATCTGTTTCCAGGCTTCAAGTTGAATCAAGTGCTGTCACTCAGTGACATAAATTCTCGCACATTTTTTAAAAATGAAAGTTTGGTAATCACACCACTGTCACCTTAATACTGAGGCTGTGGAGGAGTGAACATCATGCATTTGCTAAATGTCAGGGGAGTAGGTGCAGTCACACTGCCACCCGTCTGAGCCTGTAACTTATGAAGAACAAGTTGACCTGGATCACATTTTTACAGTAAGTGTTATTCCCTCTGTTCTGCCTGCATCCCAGAGGCACAAACTGGTGCCTGTGTATTTGATCAGTAACATAGGAAAAGGGGATTAGAAGCCGATGAATTTATATTTACTTGTGTGCAGATTCCTTATATTCGTGGATAAACAAAGAAGAATGCAGGACTACGCCCGCCCGGGAATGTTATTCAGAATTCAGCTGGGTTCATTCAACACTTGTTATGGAGGCCCCCTGGATTCAGCTTCTGTCTGAATTGCATGTTTATTCAATCATTAACAAGTATTTATAATACAAAAAAGATGAGTTTACTTTTTTTTTTAGTTGTGGCTTTAAAAATGAAATGACAGTATGGCATCTGTTACTCTCTGGATCGCTATAGCTGGATTTCCATCAACTCTAAATTACTCTGGTGCTAATTATCTAGTCCTTTCTCTTCTTCCACTGGTAGCGTCTCTTTGGTCATTTCACTGTTGACACCTTCAGTGAAAAGAAAAGTCAAGGACAGTGACAAGAGCTGAAACCCACCTCTGTCAAGGAGGCTGCTGGTGGGGAAGCTGGTGCAGCATGGAGGAGGAGCAGAAAGAGGGGACCAGAATGAAATTTAGTGGTCCCAAGGAACCTTCCTGGGGAGGCCACCCACATGCCTCCCTCTCGCCTGAAGAACTGAGAATTAATTCATCTTTGCATCCTGGCACTTAGAAAGTGCTCAGTACATACCAACTGAACCTGGAGACATTTCAAACAATTTTAGGTGACGTCCTAGCCCAGTGATCTCTCGAGGTCCACTTATTTTTTATTATTTAAAGGAAGACAATGCCTATTTTTGCCTGTCAAGCTTGAACAATCTTCCCACAACTTTCTTAGTTCAATGGTTGAGTGGCTGTTTGAATTACATGTTTATTTTACTGTTATGAATTTCAAATCAATTGGGACACATGGCAATTAGAACACAATATTCATCTCTCCATATGATGGATATGTAAGAGTGCTTTTTTATTCTATTATATCTAGATCCACTAAAGGAGAAACAGTTTTGTTGTAGCTGTTAGCCAGAAAACGTATGCACGTTGCTAATGGGAAGAGCAAATGATAATAGTTTCCTCGTTGACACAGATAGTGACGAAATTATACTAGCCTCGGCCCTCGCAGATTGAGAAGCCCTTCCTATTGTTAATAGTCCCAAACGGCAGACCGAAGTACAACCCTTTAGTTGTTGCTGTTTTTGGCTTAGCTTTCTAGTCTATACATTGGAAAATTCCCTGTATTTTAATTTTCCATAAATGTTTGTGTGTACGTATGTGTGTTTTTTTAATATCTACCACGCTCTTAAAACCATCCACTGGAAGTGTTTGGTGTTTTGAGTACCTTGGTTTTCTCATGCTCCTTTTGTTTGATCATGTTGTTAGGATATGACTTCCAAATGCAAATTGTTGTTTTTAAATACAATTCTAACCTTCAGTTTTTGCAAATGCTTAAAGTTCACATGAACGATTGCCAACCACAAAAGCCTGATTATAAATGTAGGTGACCAACTGGTTGTACTGTCATCCCGTGCCCTCCCTGGGGGATGATCCCTGCCTCCCTGGCTGCCTAGCGAGGCCAGTGGGGAAAGTGAGGCAGGGGTGTGTGTGGCCAGCACAGCTACAGCGGCCATGGGAGAAGCAGAAAGGCACGTGTCCTCCCCGGTGCCCCTAAACTTCCTAAATCCAGTTATCTTGAAATGTGTCCAGTAAATGAAACAAACAAAAAATATGGATTTGGTTTTCAATCTCAAAATTCTTTGCACTAATTAGCTTACTGATGTCCAAGTTATTCTTGAAGACTGCGCCATGGTCTCTCAGTTCTCAGGGAAGCCTACGGAGGTGAATGAGCGGACCATGTCCACACTGCGCGGAGGTTAGGGGTGGGGAGGAGGACGGCGGGAGGGGGCGGGCAATCACTCCTGCACAGTGCACATTCTCCAGTGACACCTCTTATGAGGTGTCATTTGACTGGGCCTGAGGAGAGCCCCCATGAGAGGCATGGCGGTTGTCACCGCTCTCAGTTTTCCTGATAGGAAACTGGGCTGGGAGCCATGTAGAACTAT